AGAGAGAGAGAGAGAGAGAGAGAGAGAGAGAGAGAGAGAGAGAGAGAGAGAGAGAGAGAGAGAGAGTTGCCGCGAGAGAGAGAGGGAGCGAGGAGCATCGCAGGGAGCGTGGAGCCGAGCGCAGCGGCGCTGGTGCTGCGACGAAGTTGGAGCAGCAGCGGAGCACGCTCGACGATGGCGGCGAATCGGCATGCACGTCCTTTGATTGACGCCGTTGAATTTTTAATTCAACGGCGTTAAATGCGATTGCACGCGTTTGAATGCGTTTGAACGATGTTTAACACGATTGAACGCGTGGGGCCGGCGGGCGTTTGTCGGGGTTCGGCGGCGTGCGCGCGGGTTCGGGCGGTGCGAGGAGACGGGGGAGGGGACTTTAGGGGCGACCCTGCAGTGGGCAGCGGTCAAGGGGTGTTGGGTTGCAAGGCGGGGTTGGGCGACTGAACAAGGATTGTCTCGCGAGGGGGGGGAGTGGGGTATTGGGGGGGGTGTGAGGGAGTTGGGGGAGGGGGGACCCTGCGGCGGGCAGCAGTCGACGGGGGTTGGGTTGCAGTGGTGCGCTCGGGGAGAGTCAGCAAGGGTTGTCTTGCCAGGGCGGTCGGCATGGGGAGGGCACAGCGCCGCCAGCATGAGCCTGCCCCGGACCATGTGCAGGACACATTCAGGGCCCGCTACCCTGTGTATCGATACCTGGTTGTCAGCCAGCAGGTCGACAACAAGGACGTCATGATGCTCCATTGCACGTTATGCAACAAAGTTTTCCAAGGGACCCAATTTCAGGCCACGAGGCACTTCACACAGACGAACTACTGGAAGGATGTCAGCGACGAGGTGTTGTACGAGATCGCGCGACGGACTCAACAGAAGTTCGAGGCCGATTAGATGGAGAGGGTTGCTAGGTATGCAGTGGAGCGCCGACTCGATGTGCCCGACACGGGTGGTGCAAGGGGAGGAGAGGCGGGGCGGCATCCGGTGGAGGGAGGGGTCGGGGGCGTGGTGGGCATGGTGCGCCAGACCACCCATTGGGGGGTGGATGCGGTGACACGGAGGAGGGCGTGATCCACGTCGATTGCGAGGCGCGTGGCCCAGGCGAGGAGGGAATCCCGGAACACGAGGACGTGTCGAGTTTTATCCAAGCACTGCGGAGAGGATGGAGGACTGGCGGAGGCGAGCAGGCAAGGGACCTGCAACGGAGGGGTCTTCCAAGAGGAAGGAAGGAGGAACTGATATGACTGCCACCCCAGCAAGAAAGAGGCTTCGCCAGCAGAAGGTGACTGAAGTCTACGGTGGCGAGTGGGTTGCTCGTCACAAGAAGGCCTTCCTTCGCTGGCTCTATTCCAGCGGGGTCTGCTTCAATGCCTTCCGCAACCAGGCTTGGAAGGCATATCAACAGGTGCTTCTTGAGCAGCCTGGCAGTTCCCCGCGCGCTGTGCTCCCCAACCACAGCGAGATGGCGAGTATGCGGGCGGTGGAGACCCACCGTGCGGAGCTGGTGGAGGAGTTGGAGGAGGTGAGGCAGCCATTCTGGGTGACTGGTGCCACCCTCCTCTTCGATGGGAGGAAATCACGAGACGGGAGACCGATCGTGAATTTCCTTGCCGCTGGCTCGCGAGGGGTCCTCGTGTACACGACGATCAATCGAGAGGGCGAGCCAGACGATGCAATGCACGACCTTCAGAGATAGTTACCATCTTCCACGAGTTCAGGTTCGGCGGCCCGCAGCGGGTCAATGAGATATGCACTGACTCCACTTCTGCGTACGTGGGGGCTGCAAGGGTATTGGCCTCGCCGACCATGCCTCTTGCACTGAGGAGGATCACTTGACTCCCGTGCTCCGTTCATGTTTGCAACAAATTGTTGTCAGACATGGGGATAAGTTGCGACACGTTTGTGGACGCGATCACACGCGCTCGTGTGCTGGTGGTGTTTTTCAAAAACCACCAGGCCGCCCTTCATTTTTTTAGAACGCGCAGCCTCAACAAGGGGCTTATTCTTTCTTGCGAGACGCGCTTCGCGTCTGTTTATTCCATGCTAGAGAGGTTGTTGGCCCTGCAGGACACTTTGCAGGACATGATGCGAGGGGATGACGCGCGGGTTTTTGCTTCCATCCCGTGGTCCGCCGATGTGTGCATGATGGCTCGTTGGGTGCGTCGACAGATCAGATGGGATCCTTGGTGGCAAAGGGTGGCCACCATCGTCCATATCATGCAGCCCGTCATGGAGTTGCTTAGGCGGATGGATCGTGGAGGGCAGTACATGATCGAGTGGACACAGGATCTTATCCGCTGTGTCACGGACGCATGCGCTCCTTTTGGGGAGTCGTTCGCCGACCGGATCATCAAGCGTGTGCAGGATCGCATACTGAACCCCCGCAGGCGACACATTCGCTACTTTTCGGGCGAGGTTGATCGGTACCATGCTTGGCTTGTGGGGCAAGCCAAGAGGTACATTATGACGCAGACGGGTTTCGAGTTGGAGGGTGCGGAGTACATCCTTGCATGTCGGCTGTTTGAGGACTTCCACATTCAGCAGGGCAGGTTTGGGGATTGGGGCGGGGCGGAGGGGCGTGCTCGTGGGAGCGCGTGCAGCGGCGACGACGAGATGATTGAGTGTGCGTCTTCGTGGTCTCAGTTCGGGGCTGGTGCGCCAGAGTTGCAGAGGTGCGCTCTTCGGGTGATGCACATGTGGTCTTGCGCCTCTCCAGCGGAGAGGAACTGGGCAGTCCACGAGGGCATCCACACGAAGAAGCGCAACCAGTTGGCCTTCGAGAAGGTCGTTCAACTCGTTGAGATCACCGCAAATGTGCGGTTGACGGAGTATAGGCGGGTTGGATACGGTTATGTGCTACCATGGCAGCGGGACGAGGGCATGCTGGATTGCAAGGCAGGACTCGAGGTGGAGCCTGTGCGCATGGGCACGCGCAAGGGGATGACGGAGGAGGAGATTGCTCGTCAGGTTGCGCTTATTACCCGGGATCCCATCGGGGCCTCCGCACCACCCTCTGTTGATGCCGTTTTCGGTAGATGTGCTTGCATTTTTCGTCCCTACCCCAGGGAGGACGACTCGAATGAGGAGCCTGCACTCCGCATTCCCCGTGAGATCGACGAGACGCACGACGATCCCGACGACGAGGAGACGAGGGCACACACTGCACGACGGGCGGCGGACCGGGCGGACAGGGAGATGCTGGGGGGAGAGGAGGAGTTTTGGGGCCCATTCGGGGAGGTCGCTTCCACGGGCGGCACAGAGGCGCGGACGACGACCCCCACTCCGACGAGGCGGGAGTCGTCCATGTTGCCACCTTCTGCTCCGAGTCCTACATCACCATCGCCTGTCTCGCCACTTCGGTCGGTCATGGCAACGACGGACACAGAGGAGTTGGCGTCCTCTTTGCCTCCGCACGGACTTCTCCACAGAGGCGGGGCAGTCCGCCAGTTGAGGTTACGATCACCTTCCCCGGGATATTGCAGGAGGAGGGGGCACCGTCCGCAGCAGCAGTGGAGGGGGGGATGGCACCAGCGGCGGTGGCGGACGCGACGGTCGCAGCCGCGGTGGACGAGATAGCAGCAGCAGCAGTGTTGGCGGAGATGGCAGCATCAGTGGTGGAGGAGGAGGCACCAGCGGCAGGAGTAGCAGCAGCAGTGGAGGGGCAGGTGGCAGCAGCAGGAGGAGCAGTTGGAGGAGCAGCAGCAGGGGAGGTGGAGGGGGCAGCAACAGTGGAGGAGGAGGCACCGTCAGCAGCTGTAGTAGAGGGGGGGGGTGGCAGGACCAGTGGAGGAGGAGATAGCCGCACAGGCGGAGGTGCCGCGTAGGGGCGATGACGAGCGCCTCATGCAGCAGTTCCTCACGGAGGAGCTCGATCCGGTCATAGCGGGTATGACCCCGGGTGTGGCGAGCGGGTTGGGGATTTCGGATTCAGAGATGGGGACCCACTTAGACTTTGATTTGTCGATGGACCTTCCACCTAGTTGCGGCGGGGCGACATCGACGGATCGGGCTCCATCGAGGGACGAGGCGGCATGACAGACTTTAACGCAGACCCCAAGAGAGAGGAGGACGACTTAGTCTCCAGATGCAGCACGCAACATCATGGAGCGACAGAGGGTTCAACCTATGGCATCGAGTAACCCGCGTGCTCAGGCGTTCGCACGGGCCTTGGAGGAGGCCAGGCTTCGAGAGACAGGGGGGGATGGTGTGCAGGGTGGGGTGGTGGCGGGGGAGGACGTTGCGGAGGGAGTGGCAGCAAAAGCGGACGATGAGGCTATGCCGGGTGGACCAGAGGCAGCGGATGTGGCTATGGAGGGACGGCCACAGGCGGTGGATGAGATTGTGCAGGCAGGACAGCGGCGAGACGAGGGGGCTATAGACGCACGGCGCGTGGTCCAGGAGATAGCGACGGGTCCGGTCGTTCCGTTCTCGGGCCTGCACTTGGCTCAGGGCCGACAGTCGCAGGTGGTTCAGATGGCAGTGCATGGTGTGCCACTGCCCGTTATCACGAATTTGGGGTCCGAGCCGCTGGTTGTGCCCCCACGTCTTCCTAGTCACTTTGCTCCACAGGAGGTCCATCGTCCTTTGGATGCAGAGGAGTTGGCGAGAGAGGTTGTGCGCGATGTTACTCGATTGGACCGGCGGATCTTCGACCAGAGGCTCGAGCATCCAGCATGGCAAGCGATCCCTTCGGTTTTGTGGGGTCCTGCGTCGCCCGTGTGGTCTGGGTCTACCTCCACCGGAGGACGTACCGTGGGACATGTTCTAGGGGTTTCGGGTGGCGTGATGGAGACAGCGCCATGCACAGGAGACATGCCACCCCCTCCTCCTAGACCACCTGTAGGTGATCCATCATCGTTGCCCACAAGCAGAGGCTCTCGATCCCCACACACGCCTGGGAAACCTAGGATTCGTGACACGACAGCAGTACAGCGGGACGTGTGTGACACGACGTTATTCGGGAGGATAGACATAGATTTGGATTCCACCCGCCGTGTCACGGAGCACGCTGCACGCCTTTAGCCGGGCTTGGGACCTCGCGGCGCCAAGACGACCGAGGCGAGGGAGGTACCAGCATTAGGTTGTGAGCCTCAGCGAGGTCGCGGCAGAGGAGTCTGCACCGAGAGCTTGGAGCACGCTATGAGAGCAGCGACGCGTGTCGTGCATGAGCAGACTCCACGCAAGCGTGGAGTGCCTCCTCGTCCACGCCCCGTGCCTGCAGAGGGAGGCGCTGCACTTGGAGAGAGTTCGGGGGCGGAGGGGTTGAGGATGCCTCGTGGATCCCGCCGTGAGCAAACGGCTGTTGAGGCTAGTGCGAGGGTTGTTGTGTTGAGGAAGGGAAGAGGCCCTGTCACCATCGAGGAGGATGATCCTGATACGGATACGGCAGTGCGGGAGGAGGACGAGGACTATGAGGGAAGGAGGAGGGAGAGGAGGAGAGCAAGAGCAGTTCTGATGGTGACGATGACGACGACGACAATGAACCCCCACCTCCCCCAGGACCCCCATCGACACGTGCATCTACGCAATCCTCTGCGCGGACTTCTTCATCCGCACGAGGGAGGAGGAGGTCGACATTCGGCACTTGAGGGGGTAAGAGGAGACAGAGCGGGAAGGGGAAGAAGGGTCGTTGACCGATGAGGCCAACACTCCGCCGGGTAGGGGGGGTTCAGGGGGTCGCCTGGTAGTAGGGGTTGGAGATGAGGGGTATTGGGGGTGTAGGGGATGTGTGGGTTGTTTAGGGGTGGGTGTGAGGGGTAGTCGGGGTTGGGGGTGGTGTTGGGAATGTGTAGGTTGGGGGTCGGGGGTGTGTTTGGGATCAAAGTGCGGTTTTGGGGGCCTTAAGGGGTGTGGGGGGGGGTGTTAACAGGGGGTGAATTTTTTTTTTTTTTTTCCTGGTTTGAGTGTACGGGCACGTAGGCACACGTGTCCGAGGCCCAGCGCGCGAATTCCGTTTTTCGAAATTCGAAAAGCGACACTCCCGTTTTTTTGTTCAACGCGATTTAACGGGGTTCCTCGGACCGGTTAAACAGGTGTTCGGGCGTTTAATTTGGCCCGTTCTCCGTTAAAAAGATACACAGCACAAGACGGTTTTCCGAACGAGTATGAACATTACGCGTTTGTGGTTATGCCTTTCAGTCTGACTAATGCACATGCGACCTTCCAAAGGTCAATGAACGAGTTGTTTCAACAATGGCTTGATCAATTCGTAGAAGTCTATCTCGACGATATTTTAGTGTACAGTAAGACGCTAGAAGATCACAAGAAACATCTACGAATGGTTTTGCAAAAGTTGCGTGTGCGCAACTTCAAATTGAACCCCAAAAAGTATGAATTCGCTAAGCCTGAGGTACTTCACTTAGGGCACATAGTGAATGAGGACGAACTAAGGCAAGAGGAAAAGAACATTACAACAATTCAAGATTGACCACAACCTAAGACTATAGCTGAATTGAGACATTTCCTATGACTTGCTAGCTACTACAGGAAATTCATCAGAAACTTTTCTTTGATGTTTGCACCTATGAGAATACTACTAAAGAAAGAAAAACCTTGGTTGTGGGTCGTCATTTCGAAAGTTGAAACATTTACTAACTCACTACCCTGTCTTAAAAATTGTTAACCTCTTTGTATGCCTTAGTTCTTGCACTGGACACCTGAAAACACTACTTGTTAGGGAGGTACTTTACTGTCTATTGTGATCACTCTACTTTGAAGTGGATCAAGACTCAACCTAGACTTTCTGATAAACTGGTAAGATAGTCCGCTTTCGTTGATACCTTTGACTTTGTGGTCACAGATGCTTTGTCCATACGTAAGACTCTTCTTTGGAACTATCGTCTCTTACCTCGATATCGGGAACGAACTGAAAAACCAGATTTGAAAGTGCTATGAGAGTGATCATATGTGAAGTCTTATCATTGAGACTCTATGAAAGAGCCCTGAGTTATTTCCAAAATATTGAATGATTGATAGCTTACTATTCTTTCTGGATAAAACCGAATAAAGATTGTGTGTTCCTCACCAAGAACCAACCAACTTAAAAGGGTCATGGGAGTGATCATATTTGGAGTCCTATCATTGAGACTCTATGAAAGAACCCGGAGTTATTCCCAAAATATTGAATGATTGATAACTTACTCTTCTTTCTGGATAAAACCGAAGAAAGATTGTGTGTTCCTCACCAAGAACCAACCAAAAGCTTAATTATTGGGAAATGCCATGATGCGGAAGGTCACTTAGGTTTTAAGAAGACGCATGCTGATTTGCGCGAACGTTTTGAATGGAAAGGAATGAAGGAAGATATACTAACCTATACGCGGACTTGTCTTGTCTATCAAAGGAACAAATCCTCACATGAGAATCCGATGGGACTACCGAGACCGCTCCCTATTCCAAGTGAGTCAGGTAAGTCTATTTCCATCAACTTCACGAATCTCACTAAGAGTTGAAATGACAACAATTAAGTAATGGTCATCGTTGATAGATTCTGTGTTCATTCCTTTACCCTCAGAAGCTAGAACCAAATTGGTCATCCATAAATTTCAGATGCGATAGGTTTCTAAGTATGGATTGTCGAAAACCATCGTCTCTGACAGAGATGTTCGGTTCACTAGTCTACAACGGTAGAAGTTGATGGAAGTATAGGGGACCAAGTTGACCATGCCGTCAGGCAGACATCCTGAAATGAATGGCCAAACCAAGCAAATAAACCGTCTTCGCGAACAACTTTTGCAAATGTATGCCCGGCGTAGATTGGAATGAGAACTTGTCTAAGATTGTTAGTCCCTACAATCGACAATATACATACTGTTACAGGTAGAACACCTAATGCACTAAATAAAGGAGGGAAGTCTAGGCGTCCCATTGATGCGTTAACAAATGACGAGATTCAAAGGCTACCCCCATGTACGCATGAATTCGCAATTTTGTATGAAGAAGACGATCAAGAAGGTCAAGGAAAACATACCAAAAATCCAACTACAAATGATTGAACAGGCCAATAAACATCACCGACATTCACAATTTCAGGGTTAAATCTAAAAAAATTTCCTTAGAAAAAAATGTGTCTAAAAAACTACTACTTGTCTACTATGGCCCCTGGGAAGTCCTCAAGGTGATTTGAGATTCAAATAGAGTTTCCTACCACATAGATGTACCTCCACACATAAGGACATATTTTGTCTTCCATGCGTCTAAATTGCTATCCTATGTAGAATGAGATAATTTTCCGAATAGGCCATCTATGTTTTCACCCTCTATGAATAGAGGCTATGAAATTGAAAAGATATTGGAACATGGCTATTTTTTTACAGGTGGCAAAGGAAGACCTCAGAAGCAGTACAAGGTACAGTTCAAGCCCCAACCTCCATCTGAAGCCAAATGGTTTAGTAAGAAAAAAAGAACTACCTACTTCTCCTGACATTGTTGCTACATACGAACGTGGGATAAGGGAAAATTGATGAATTTTTGCGATGGAACTCGAAATTGGCCCGGCAGGAATGCAATAACCCATGCTGTACGCCTCGTGGAAAGTCTGAGAGTTCCCGGGCCACACTCAGACCCAGGCCGAAGAGGAAAATGAACCCCACGTAAAAATTTAAGGTTTGGACAAGATATAGTTGACTGAAGTCAATTGTCGGAGACCCAACAGTCAAAGTCAAAGTGTACCCAGCCCAAGCCGCCGGTCAGACGCACACACTTGTTTGTATGCAGGTACCCAGACAGCATCAGGTCCGAGGGGAACTCTGCAACTGTACACAATCCAAGCCCTCGACTGTGAGTCAATCTACGACTGTAGGTGAGGGACCCGAAACCAGATAGCCTCGTCAAACGCTAGAAAAGAACTGGTCTCCAAGAGGCCGACATTCAGTCTTTCAGTCTTGCTATGCTGCTTGATCGCTGGCTCGACTCTGACTGGTTGCTGGCATTGATGCTAGCACAACACTGGCGAGATGCTGGCTTGCGCAGGCACTATGGACGGCGATGCGGGTTGTGTCAGCATGCTAACGCTTTGTGTTGTGTGCCAGGCATTGCTGATGTGGCAGTGCCACCTGTCTTCAAGGCTGATGCGGCCCAGGATACTTGTATACATTGCTGATGTGGCACAGGCCACTTGTCCCATGGTTGATGTGGCGCTGCTATCTGTCTACACTGCATTGCTGATGTAGCACTGCCACCTGCCTTCAAGGCTGATGTGGCACAGGCCACTTGTCTACATTGCTGATGTGGCGCAGGCCACTTATCCCATGGTTGATGTGGTGCTGCTATCTACATTGCATTGCAGATGTAGCGCTACCACCTGTCTTCAAGAATGATGTGGCGCAGGGCACTTGTCTACATTGCTGATGTGGCGCAGGCCACTTGTCCCATGGTTGACGTGGCGCTGCTATCTGTCTACATTGCATTGCTGATATAGCGCTGCCACCTGTCCTTCTTGTTGATGTGGTGCATGCCACCTATCTCTACTGCTCACGTGGCATAGGCCACATTGTCTACATGAGTTGACTGGTTGCGACAAGGAGCGGGATCGCGATCTGTGGATGATTGAGGGACGGGATACTTACCTCAGGCTAACGTCGATATTGCGCGACGCTGGTTGTCTTCATTGTCTACTCGAGAGAGTAGTGCCACGTGTCACTTCTGTGTGACCGGGACTTGTCAGACTTGTTGCTGTTTATTAATTGATGACGTGAAGGGAGAGGAAGCTCGGAGAAGAAGTGGGATTGGTTGGGTTACTATTGTGTGATCTTTGACTACCTCTTCCACCTCCCTTGTCTATCCTCCCTCCAATCTCTTCGTCTATATTGGTAACGAGATACTGTTGCAGATATCATTTTCACGTTAGCTGGAGACTCTGTACAGACCTGAGACTACTGGAACTTCGTCGTCTGCTGAGCATCTTCCTGGCTGGGTTCATTGCAGGCGGATGGATAGACGGATAGACATATAGAGGGATGTATGGATAGATCGACGACGAACATAGATCAATAGGTGGATAGATGGACAACATATAGACGGATGATGAACAGACATATAAAGGGATGGATAAATGGATGGATAGATCGCCGAGGAACATAGATCAATCGGATGGATAGACAAACCCTGGATAGACGTATGATGGATAGACATATCGAACCCGCAGGGCCCTCCTTTTGGCTGGCGCCACGAGGCATTTTGCTCTGGTGGGCGGGTCCCGGAAGTTGCGGTAGCATGCAGGCCACAACTTTGAGAAGATGGCTGGGAAAGATACTGGTGGTCTCATCCTCGGGAGTTCTAATAAAAAAAACAAAACAAAACAAGGCACCCAGTGGGGCCGCCCCGGGGGCAAGTCCCACTAGCAGTGGTCCTGTTCCTGTCTTCAGAACTACACCGCACATTGCGACGGCGGGCGGCGTTGTGCGGCCTTATTTTCTCCGAGGGCCAAAATAATATTCCAGCTGTGTAGCGCCCTTACAGTTCTTCCACATGGAGTACCGTAAAAAAACAATAACGAGCTGCCCCCGTTGTCGCCGAGTATGGGGTATGAGTTAATGGTCCCAGCTGCACTGAGCTCTACATTCACAAAAGACAAAACATATTGAGGTGTATCTTTCCT